ATTTTGCATTATTGACACTATTTTCCTAATTAATGCTGTTCAGTTGCTTTGACACAATCTGTATTGTTAAAAGCGCTATATAAATACAGGTGACTTGACTTGACTTGACAGACAGCAGACTGACAGACAGACAGCAGACAGACAGACAGACGGGCTTCAGCACATACTCTGATCTGTCTGTAGGTGTTTGTGTGCGTTGGACTGTGATGATCCATTTTAAACTCCGTCACACACGTCCTCTTCAGCTCAACAGTCCTAAACACACACGAGACACTGCGTTTTACAGCGTGTCTGCAGTCATTGTAATTAATGTCCAGAGTTACTCATTTACAGAACTACATGTGCATGTCGGGTTACTGTAGTTAAACTAACTAAAATCAAACAAAAATTTCCATTCCTTGAAATAAAAGGAACATTAACTGAAATATAATAAGGGTCCTAAAATAACACTGGCGCTTGTGTGTGTCTGTACCTGTGATGTAACTCAGCAGATGTGGGTTTTCTGGCCCAGTTGGTGAGTTGTGTCTGTAGAGCTCCAGTACAGACGGTCCTCTCTGTCTGTGGGTCTGTATCCTCCACACACACACACACACACACACACAGAGTGAATGAGTGTTTTCAGAGCTCCTGCTGCAGGAGAAACCTTCGCTCAAACTCGTCACGCAGCAGCACCTGGTTTCTGTTGAGGTTGTTTTCCTCCATCACAGTCTCCTTTGACTTTGAACTGAATTATAAAGATGTAATTAAAATTACTGCTTAAATTAAGAACAATGCTGAATTTCTTGTTTATTACTGTAAAGCAACAGTATCTGTATTAGGACTGGGCGATATAGCTAAAACACGTATCAACGATATAATGTTTCATATCGTTCGGTATTGATAATTATTGACATTTTTTATAACCTTTTTTAAAACAAAGAGCAATAGAAATAACTCAATTTATTGAGACAAACAGCAAATATTTTTTTGTTTTATCAAACACAAAATAAAAATTAAACAAATATCTAATTTCTAATGTTTTATCTGCAGATTAAATAGGTCTGAAGGAAACTTTTGGCTTGTCTCCCGAAGCCACAGGAGGGTGCCATGAGCAAAATAATGCAGCGCATTAAATTGCCAACGCAAAGGAAATAACTGTCTATAAAAAGAAAAACGTGCATTACATCTAAATTAACTCATATAAATCAAACCTAATTTCGTTAATCGCATAAACAATTATGAACAAAACTGCATCACGTATTTATGCATTGCTTAATACAAAGAGCCGAAGCACCATTCACACAGACTGCATTTAAAAACATGAGACGCAGTGAAAAGCAATAAACCTCCACAAATTTGTGACGTGTTTTCTAAAAAAAGCAGTCATATTTGTCCGTCTAGAAAATGCGCTGAATATGCGTTCTGTGTGAATGGCTTGGTTTGGGTTTTAACCCATTCAAGAT